TCCTCCACACAAGATGTCAATGGCTCCTTATTCGCCTCTTTCAAAAATGTTAGAAATAGGAAAATTGTGTGAATGGAAAGAAATAAATAGGCAAGAATCGTGGCTGATTATTATAGCTATAATTAGATGATTTACTTTCCTATTATGAATGTAGAATCCCCTATATTATTGTCTCGACATGTATGAAAATATAAGAAATAATACATTTTGTTTCTCCTCACAACATGTTCTTCTTCTTCTTCCCTGTGGATCTTCATCTCAAGATGGTATCAGAGCAGGTTAAGAGACTAAAGGGATTCAGATTATAAATCATCATCGTCGTCCAAACCATGTCAGATACAGAGGAGGATAAAAAGAAAGCTATGGTGAATGTCTCAACCGAAGACTTCGCGCAGAAGTTCGCTGAGTTCCTGCAACAACTCCAAACTCCAACCACCACAAAGAAAACTGTGGTGAATCCTGAAAACCTGGGAGAGGTGGTTATCTCTACAAAATTAGCAGGAGATAATTACCCTCTTTGGGTCAATCTCATGAAACGAGCCATTGGAGGAAATGGTCTTTCCTCCCACATCTCAAAAAATTCAAACCCGCCAATAGAGACGGATCCGGAGTATGATTCGTGGCAACAACTCGACCATTGTGTCTTTGGATGGATCATCAATAACATGGAACCGGAGTTGGTCAACGAGGTCTCTCAATACCCCACAACCAAGGAACTATGGGAAGGTCTCGCAATTACTTACGGCAGTGGGGGAGATTCTCTACAAGTTTACGATCTGCACCGGAAGGCAAGCAACATCAAACAAGGAGACCTCACCCTCGAACAACTGTGGAATCGACTCCAAAGCATTTGGATGCCAATTGACCGAAAGAAGCCCAACCCAATGAAGGACCCAGAGGATATACAGATTTACAACAAAGAGAAGCAAGAGATGCGTCTCTTTCAATTTTTAATGGCGCTCAACGACAGCCACGAAGCAACCCGGAGGGAGATCCTCAAGAGAACTCCGCTACCTTCCGTAAGAGACACTTATGCTACCATCCGACGAGAAGCTACGAATGATGAGGTCCTCAAGACGATATCCAATCCACAAGAAAGTCAAATCAACGGAGGAATTGGAGCAGGGCTTACCTCACGCAGCAGTAGTCGGCCGACCCCAAACCGCGGCGGAGGCAGACAAGAAGAAGACCGAAGTCGGCTGACTTGCAGCCACTTCGGAAGAAAGAAACACACGAAGGACCAATGCTTCCTTCTAGTGGGATATCCTGCAAGGAGCGAGATGCAGCCGGATGAGAGAGGACGCCGCACCACCGTAAATCAGGCTACTGACACTGTGAATGTAGTGGGCAACAGTGAGGGGCTCCTCGTCAAGAGCCGTGAGGCAGAAGGGTCAACTGGAAGAGAAGGAACGAATATGGGAGCCACATCTAGGATCTGCCAAGGAGTAATGGAGGCTGAAATGGGTAAAACTTTTGATGTTTTATACGATAGTTCAACAGCATGTTCTATGTCCAGAAGTACTTATCAACATGGTGATTGGATTTTTGACTGCGTTGCAACGAACACCATGTCCTTTGAACTCTCGGACTTTGACAAAATTTCGAAGGCCCAAAAGAGACATGTTCAAACTGCAAATGGGGAATTGCTTCCGGTTCAAGGAGCAGGAACAATTAAAATATCAGAATCCTTAAAGATTCCGAATTGCCTTTATGTGCCTTCCTTAGCTCACAAATTGCTATCTGTTAGCCATGTCACAAAGGAGCTCAATTGTACTTTGCTAATGCAGCCCTCCTTTTGTATGTTGCAGGACATCCGAACGGGGACGATTGTTGGCCATGGCACTGAGCGAAATGGACTCTACTTTGTGGACGAGATAACTCAACAGGGTAATGCGTTGCTAACTCGCGGATCCCCTGATCGGTTGGCTTGGTTATGGCATAGAAGGCTAGGTCACCCATCATTTGTTTATCTTAAGACTTTGTTTCCCCAGTTTGAAAAACTTCCTCATTTGCACTGTGATACATGCTCACTTGCAAAAAGTCATCGACATTCATTTGGTTTTAATAATACTCGTGTTGAAAATGTTTTCTCTTATTCATTCGGATGTGTGGGGCCCTACACCTGTTCTTAGTGGAGGGGGTTTAAATACTTTGTTCTATTCATTGATGATTGTTCTCGTATGACATGGGTGTATTTTTTAAAATCCAAATCGGAAGTTTTTGAGAAATTCACCTTGTTCTACGACTATGTCCAAACCCAATACCACAAAAAATCCAAATTCTTCATTCTGATAACGGGTGGAATATGTTAACCTCAAAATGAATGAATTCATTACCAAAAGAGGGATGATACACCAAACCACTTGTCCTCATACCCCTGAACAAAATGGGGTCGCCGAAAGAAAAAAGCGGACCTTGTTAGAAATGACAAGAGCCTTACTCATTGATTCCAAAGTCCCGACCTCTTTCTGGCCTGAAGCTCTTGCTACCTCTGTATATACCATGAACCGTCTCCCGTCCAAAAGTCTTGACCTCAAAACACCCAGCCACTCCCTCTCTACACATACTAACATACCTTTACCTCTTACTCTTAATCCAAAAGTTTTTGGGTGCTCTGTATTTATACACATTCCTAGAATTGAACGCACAAAACTCTCTCCTTGTGCAATCAAAGGAGTATTTGTCGGATATGGAGTACACCAAAAGGGGTACCGCTGCTATGACCCGAAAACCAAAAAATTGTTTGTCACTATGAACTGTGATTTCCTTGAGACAGAATTTTTCTATAACCAACTTCGAAGTCAGGGGGAGAATAACATCGACTCGCTAAGTTGGTTACATCCCGAGTGCTCACCCCAGTGCCCTCATAACCCTCCTACTCTCACCCTTAATCCTAGTCCTCATATTCATGAACCAATAGCCAATCGGGAAGAGGAACCAAAAGATGATGTTAGCAATACCGTTGAACATGTCTCGAGTCACAACTTGGAGCCCATGGAGTCCAGAGTGCTTGTGCCAGCAGAATCCTCGTATGGTATTCCTGAGGTTAGTAACACTGATGTTCTTATTGAGTCTTTAGCTTCTGAAACTAACCATGAACGCAGTATGGAGGCCGAATCCACTCCTGTGCGAGTTTTACCCCCGAGGAGTACTAGGGGAGTTCCGGCGAAGAGATATTCACCTGATTGGAAGGGACGAAAGACACTCTACTCAATTGCCAACTCAGGGAGAGCCAAAATGACTGAAAAGGCAACAACGTTTGAAGCTGCACTCTATGAGGAAGATATCCCTCGCTCCATGGATGAGGCCATGAAATATGAGCATTGGAGGAAGGCTATGGAAGTGGAGATGAATGCACTCAAACAGAATCAGACTTGGGAGAAATGCCCATGTCCCCATGGAAAGAAGATCGTTGGATGTAGATGGATCTTCACTATCAAAAGAAGGGCTGATGGAACTATCGAGAGATACAAAGCCAGACTTGTAGTGAAGGGATACACTCAGACCTATGGGATAGACTACGAAGAAACCTTCTCTCCAGTGGCTAGGATGAGTACAGTTCGAACACTTCTGGCAGTGGCAGCAAGTAAGGACTGGCCCCTACATCAGTTTGACGTTACTAATGCCTTTCTACAAAGAGAACTTAACCTAAAACTGAAGGTGTATATTGAGGTACCACCTGGTTATTCAGAGGAGTTCGAGGAAGGGGACGTGTGCAGACTGAGAAAGACCCTGTATGGACTGAAACAGTCCCCAAGGGTGTGGTTCGGTCGATTTTATCAAGCGATGAAGAAGTATGTTTACAAACAGAGTAACGCTGACCATACTCTGTTCATCAAGAAGAAAGGACAGAAGATAGCATGTCTCATTATATATGTCGATGACATGATCATCACTGGAAATAATATTGAAGAAATAAAGGAGTTGGAGAATAATCTCTCAGGAGAGTTCAAGATGAAAGATCTCGGGGAGTTGAAATACTTTCTTGGAATTGAGATACTAAGATCCAATAAAGGGATATTCCTAAGACAGAAAAAATACATCTTGGATTTGTTGGCAGAAACAGGCCTCCTTGACTCCAAACCGGCAGACACCCCAATTGTAGTCAATCACAAGTTACAAATCATTGAAGGAGCTCCAAGTGCGAACCAAGGGAGGTACCAAAGACTTGTGGGAAAGCTCATCTATCTGGCCCACACTCGACCGGACATTGCTTACGCTGTGGGAGTTGTGAGCCAATTCATGCACAAACCACAAGAAGAACACATGGAGGCAGCCCTCCGAATTGTGAGATATCTGAAGGGGACAGTAGGGTATGGTATACTACTCAAGAAGGCGAGTAGTTTGGAAATCGAGGGATATACCGATGCTGATTGGGGGAGTAATCCTATTGATTATCGATCCACAGCTGGATATTTCACCTTTGTAGGTGGAAACTTGGTTACCTGGAGGAGCAAAAAGCAGAAGGTTGTGGCTCTATCCAGTGCTGAAGCCGAGTTCAGAGGAGCAAAGCATGGGATCACCGAGATATTATGGCTGCAAAGATTACTCACCGAGATTGGGTTTCCTCCTAAGGAAACAAGCAGACTGTATTGTGATAACCAGGCAGCCATTAGTATTGCAGAGAATCCAGTCCTCCACGATAGAACAAAGCACGTTGAAATCGATCGACACTTTATTCGAGAAAAGATAGATGGAGGGATCATCGAGCTTCCATTCATTCGCTCCGAAGATCAGTTAGCTGATATCTTGACTAAAGCTGTTCATACCAAAGTGTTCAAAGTGGTACTTGCCAAACTAAGCATCGGAGATGCCGTTGCATAGTTTGAGGGGGAGTGTTAGAAATAGGAAAATTGTGTGAATGGAAAGAAACAAATAGGAAAGAATCGTGGCTGATTATTATAGCTATAATTAGATGATTTACTTTCCTATTATGAATGTAGAATCCCCTATATTAACTTGTCTCGACATGTATGAAAATATAAGAAATAATACATTTTGTTTCTCCTCCCAACATGTTCTTCTTCTTCCCTATGGATCTTCATCTCAAGAAAAAAATCTTGTTGACTATGTAAAGAAGAATGTTGAGTGTGTATTTCAGCTCAGGTCTCCAACCATGACAACTCACACACACCACCCCAGGAATTTTTAGCCACTCCACCGCTCTCCAAGTTTAGCTCTCAACTCTAATCTCAACTCACAAAGAGGAAGAAGAAAGACTCTTGATACACTCTCTCACACACCTCACTATTATCTTATCCGCACTGCACTCGACACTCTCACTCACAAAGAGGATTATGAGTCTACCTCTCTTCATCTTCTTCATGTGTGTGAGTGCTCTGAGAGTTCTAGGGAGAGGTTTGAGAGGGTAGCTGGGTTTGGGTCTGGGTTCTGGTCTTTTTGGTGGTGGTTCCCGGTCCGGTAGGTCCTATTTGTGGTGGTTGTGAGTTGTTACAGAACGTTCGGGTTCGTGTGACTGGAGACCTGAGTTGGAAGATCTATGAGCCTTACAAAGAACAAAAAAAGCTAAAGCTGTTTCCTTTCATACCTTCAGGAATTACAAGTGTAGTACTATCCCAATGTGATATAGTCACTAAATGAATGAAATCCCAAATTGTATCTTCACAAGACAACTATAATTTCCGAGAATGCTCATACATGGTAAATGTCCATGATTTCTCGGTTAGAATTTGACAGAAAGAGTCACTCAACCAATTAATCCCAACCTCTTTGAGTGATATAGAACAATTATATTTTTCTTTCAATTGGCTTATTTGGAGACCAGAAGCTGTTAGATTAAAGCGAAACAATTTGTTTTCGATTCTAAGGTAGTATAATCGCAATTTGGACCTTCTAATAGACTCAAAGGACTGAGTATCATTATCTCTTGCTGCCGCTGCTGTTCCTGAGTTACGTTCCTCCATAATAGTTGTAGCCAAGTCTCAGCCCACTTCCAGAACGGAAGGTTCGCATTCCATCTCTTTCACCCGCCGATTTCCAATTCTGTTTGCAGTAGTTTCCAATCGGCCGTCGACAATTTGCCCACCATGGCGGAGGAGGTGTTAGGTATTTAATTAAGGATGATAATCAAACCTACTGATCAGGAGGTTTTGAGAACTCTTCTTAATAATCAAACTCCTAGAATTTTGAATTCTAAACATATTTTGGATATTAAGGATGATTCTACTCTTACAACAATGCAGAAGAAATTGGTTTTTGACCCTATTTTGGCAGAAAAAGCTTACTCCTCTGAGGGAGAATCAAACAAAACCTTGAAGCCACTGCAAGAATGGGATGAAGATTGGGATGATGTCTCTGCCAAAACCTTGAAACCACGTGTATTTTGTTACTTTTGGATGATTCTTAATATATACTCTCTCCGTCAATATGATAGTATAATGTCACATGATACTTTTGAAATATACATTGACACAACATTTTAAAAATGAGCATAACATCATACCAAATAAGCATATGTAACTTACGAAATGCGCATTGATAAGAAAATCGTAAAGTTTGTTAGTTGAACATCACGACATTTTCATTGAGCATCAAAACTCATATCTCGATATGAAAATCACAGTTTATGTAAAATGAGTATTAATGAACTTTTAATGAGCATCCGACCTATTCTATTGAGTATTAAGAGTCTAATATTGAGCATCGTGATTTCTGCTTCATAACTTCTAATTCACTTTCAGTGAGCATCAAGCCTCCGTTATTGAGTATTAGAATATGTGATTGAGTATCATGATTTGTTGTCTCGTGTTTATAATCAACTCTTATATAAATGTAATGTAATATGAGACTTTTGAAATGTGCATTGCTAAAACATTTTTAAAATGAGCATAAGAGAGATACTAAATGCATATACATAATTTACAAAATGAGTATTCAAAAATTGAAAAGTTCATTTGTGTATGTTCATTTTTTAAGCGTTTTACTCATTTCAGTTTAAGGTAAAACTCATTTCTAATGTGCTCGGTATAATATATGAAAAAGAGAAAGAGGTAAAACAAATAAAGAAAGGAAAAGAAGTAAAAAAACAAAGAAAATAAGTAAAGAAAGTAAAAGAAAAAGACAAACCCAAAGAAAGTGAAATCAACCACTAAAAAAAGTAAAGAAAATAAAAAACAAAAAGACAAAAAACCTAACAATCAGAACCACTAAAAAAAAGTAAAGAAAATAAAAAAACAAAAAAAACAAAAAGTAAACAACGATAAGAATTGATGAAGGCGGAAGAAAGAAAGGAAATGTGGAAGGCGACGGAAGAAAAGAAGGAAAAGTGGAAGACAGCGCAAGAAAAGAAAGAAAAGTGGAAGGGAGCGGAAGAAAAAAAAGAGAGGGGCATTAGCCTATTTATTAATCTCAAACTTCTCCTAATTACAAAAAAACGGGTGTAAAAGTACACCCGGGTGTAGGATATAATTTGCCAATTGTTAGTGTGACTTAAATTGTTTTATAAAAGTTACTTAACATTAGTATGATCCCTTTCTCTTTTGTACTTTGCTTAATATCTAATAAAACATCGGCAAATGTTCCTCGAATTTTATCCCACTGATTTTAGTGATTTGCCTATCGGGATAAAAAAAGAGTGACTCAACATTAGACTTATAATGTAGGAAGGTAACTGGGACCTTACCGATTTAAAATCAAATTTTGAATGATTTTGGAGAGTCATCTATGGTTCTAATTGAATTTTTGTTCAGTTTAGGAAGCGAATTGAGTAATTGGGGTGAATTCGGGAAGCATTTTTACCCTTTTCTTTTGATCATTGTTATTATTTAATAATTTAATTATTCAATAATTCTCTGTTTAAGCTCTATTGATGGAGTTTTAACTTGTGTTTAGTTTAAACAATTGAAAACAAGTTCGGGAAGAAAACAAAAATTAACTGTATCTCTTGAGAGATGGATTTTTGGACGGCATTCGTGTCCGCAGGTCGCCCGCGCACACGAGTCGCGGTTTTTCTTCTCCGTTTCGGGATTTGATCGGCACCCCCCCTGCGCGTAAAAGAGAGCCTTTCCCTTTAGGAATCTTAACTCCTTAAAAGAGGCTTCCGTTTATAAGGGGGTGAAAATCCCTTGAGTTTTTCGGTGTGGGATAAAACACACTAGAAACTTATCATTTTCCCAGTTTTTCCATTTCAACGAGCGAACTTCGAGAATCAATTTCTCATTCACCCGTTATCCGTTTTGAGCGTACCATATATCGAATTGTAGCCCTTAACAAGGACAATCCGAAACCACTTTGACCCGACCCAAATCGGAAGTGGACCCCACTCAAATAATTGCCCCAAATTGACCATTTAATGCAATTTTTTAACACATTTTTCCAACGGTGGCAACCCTTGTGGCATTTTTTCTTTTCCTTTTTTTCCTTTTTCTCTTTCTCTTTTCGTTTTTCTTCCCTTCTTCCATTTCACATAAATGTTGTTGACTCGTTGAGCACCGGTCATGCCTTTCATCCACCCGGTTGCCCTGTTATGCACTGATCCCCCACTGCCGAGGACGGAATCTCCCACGCCGGGATCTGTTGCGGCCATCTCTGGGGACTGCGATCGCCTTTGCTGGAGAGTTCGTCGGATTCTTCGAGTGAAGTGAAGGCACCCGCTATGTAGAGTGAAGGGAGCAACTGCGGCAGTGGACTAGTGGGGGCGACATCTGAGCGCAGTAAAGTCCAGCGACAAAGTGCAGCAAGTTCTGGCGGCAAGAGTGCAGCTAAGTCCGTCGTCTGATTGCTGTGAAGTCCGGTTGTGGAGTGCAGTGAGGTCCGGCGGCGAAGTGCAGTGAATTCCGGCGGCGATGCAGCGAAATCCGACAGTGAAGTGCTGTGAGGTTCGCCGCCGGCACAAGCTTGGTGAGTGGAGAGTGGCGCTGGTTGCTGGGAAGGAGAATGTAAGTGTCACGTAACTGGTGGGCAAGCGTAGAACAAAGAAGAGGGAAGAGAAAAAGAAAAAAAGAAAAGGGAAAAAGAATAAAAAACACTCGATTCAAATATGACGTTTGAATTAAGTGTTTTTTAAGAATTCGGGGTTTGAATGGGGTGTTTTTAAACTACGAGAGTCTAATGGACGTTTTAACTATAGTACGAGGGCTTATCTCATAGATTTCCATTTTCTTTTTAATTGTAAATGATTCAAATCTGCATGTTTGATTATATTCACCTTTCATAAAAAATTCATTTGTGTTTCACACTTGACAGTACATGCACACCCTAACAGAAAAGGCATGACTAAGAGCATCTTCAATGCTTTGGGTGTATTGATGGTGATGTGTCATCCAAATGCAAAGGGTCTACCGAGCATGTGGGGCAAAATAAACAAATAGAAGGGGTTTACTTTTTTCTTACTCCAATGGGGAAGGAACTACCAATGGACCTAAGACTTTGGTTTTATCTCCTTTGCCAACTCAGCACACCTTCTCCAATTTTTGTTGCATTGTAGAGCATATTTACTAAAAGAGAGTGCATTTTGTGATGTGGAGATGCAATCTACCTCTTTATTGGTGTTGGACATATTATTATTATTTTCTGTACACTTTATTATGTAACATTTTTATGTGCAACGGTTGTATTAGAATATATAGGAGATTGTATCATTTATTTTCTTTCCTTCTTTCTCTCCTAGAATATCTTACTGGAGCGTTGGTAACGTACGAGTAAAACCTCCATGCGCAGCTTTGTATATATGGTCTGTAAAGTTACGTAGATCAATGAGAAAGAATTTCCTTATTCCTACAAAGTTTATTACGGTATCTGAGCGGTGAGCCGGTGATTCGGGACCTTCTAAACACGCTACTACGACGACGACGCCAATCGCCATGGCTGGAGAGATGATGAACAGTGGTGGAGGCAGCCACCGTGAATTGGAACGACGAAAGATTAATGATACTTCGTTACCATATTATTTATCGAGCTCGGATTATCCTGGGTTGAATATTTGCGGGGTTGCTCTCAGAGGTGAAAGCAACTATCGAGAATGGGCTACGACCATGAAGAATGCATTCCGGGCAAAGCAGAAAATGGGGTTCTTGGACGGAACCATTGAACGACCAGTTGGTATTCCAAAGGATCTCGAAGATTGGTAAACCGTCAATTCTATGGCGGTAGGTTAGATCATGACCTCGGTGGATCCGACGTTGAAGACCAATCTATCAAATATGGAGAGCATACATGACCTTTGGGGCGATCTGGAAGCACACTTTTCAGTTGGAGATGCCATGAAGACTCATGAGTTGAAGGAACTGATACGGAATTGCCGACAACAAGGACAACCAATTACTGCCTACTTCGGCCAACTCAAAACCCTTTTGTAACACCGTCCCCAAGTATATTTACTTTTTAGTAAATCATGTAATAGACTTTGAATAATGATTTATGAATTTACGAGGTTGTAAATTTTTGTTATTACTTTTGCGTGAATAGTGGATTGCACGTGGGGCCCACATCGGGAGCGGGGACCACCCGATAATCTCGGGACCACATATTATATTCATCTTGGTCTAGATAATATTTATATGATGGTGTATATTTTAGTTGGGCCATAGAAAGGGCTTAGGGTTGACCCGTTGGTCAAACGAGGCCCAATTACCGGAATTGGTAATTTATCGGGTAACAGTCCAAAATGGATTTTCGGAGACTTCTAAATTAAAATTGAGGAATGTATATTCATTATAAAGGCATATAGTGATTTGGACATTGTTATATATTTTATTTGGCCCAATAAAATAAAATATAATTAAAACAGTCCGAGAAATACAACTTTCGAGACCAATTGTACAGTTCGGGACTGATGGAGTATATGGGTCTGAGCCCCCGGACCCACATACTCGGAAGAACAGAAAGCACAAGACAACAGAGTGGCGCCCTCGTCGGCCAAGACGCCCCCGTCGGCCGAAAAGGGGCCAACTCGGATTATGGTCCTGAGTCCAAGGAACCCGGGTGCCCTCGTCGGCCGTGCCCTCGTCGGCCGTGCCCTCGTCGGCCACGCCCTCGTCGGCCACGAAGACCTCACAGAATCGGATTTTATACTTACTCATTTGTACAGCCCATTAGTGGCTTTGTATTCGGCCCAGTAGCGGTCCAGTTGTAAATGGGCCTCCCAAGCCCAAGGCTTGGGAGCCCAACCCTAATTTTCTCTATAAATACTCCCCTTGGGAGTAGTTATAGGGGTTACAAAATCATTCTATTGAAGCATATTATTGCACTTCTCTCTCTAGCTCTCACTTCTCTCTAGATATACTCTATCATTTGGTGCTCTCGTTGAGAGCTAGAACAATCAAGTTAGCACCTTCGTCGCTACCAAGCACAGCTAACCACTGATCATGGGGAGAACTAAGTCAAACCGCAACCTCGTCAGCAAAGTCATCCCTGAGGACCAAGAGCCCAGGGAGCACGATGAGGACG